GGCAGTTGCGAACCGGCTGCTCCCTGGTGTCTGCTCGCAGGCGCCCTTCGGAGCGGGGCGGCTGCTGCCGCGCCCCTGCCCTCGGCCGTGAAGGCATCGCCCGAGGCCCTGGTCGTGCTTTCCCCACTGTGGATCTCGAGTGACAGCCAGAGGGGCAGGGGCGGAATGGCGCGCTGTGCTCCATCAGTCAGCAGGAGGGCTTGTGCAGGCAGGGGCGGACGTTAAACTGTTTTCTGCTTCTTTGCGGCCTCTTCCCACCCCATGAGAAACATCGAAGTCTGTGCCAAGGGCTGGGTGCTGAAGGGTCTCTCCACTGTTGAGGGTCTGTACGTAGATAGCTGAGATGTAAAAACCTGTGCTTCTATGTTAATTAGATTTTTCTAATCAGCTGCAAATGTCACCTCTTCATTTCTAACATCTCCATCTGTGTAATGCCTGAGTGCCTTGGGCATGCATTGATAAAGTTCTATTTTCTCTCCTATCTGCATGTAAACTGGGAGTTGCAGTGGACACTCCTATGGAGAGTTTCACTTCTCGCTTCCCGCCGGGTGAAGAGAGTGCCCTTCCCTCTCTGACCGCCCTTCCCTTACACCAGAGTCTCCTTGCCACCTGCACAGCAAATACTTGCCAAGCTGGGGAGAAAATTGTTTTGTTCAATTAGTAAGTTGTCTCTAAAACAATACATCCTAAACTGATGGTATTCAGTTACAGTATACCCTCACCGTTTGCCACTAGGGAAGTAGAAAGACCAATCCCCTCTCCTTTTGTTTGTTTTATTCTGTACTTTTTCACAGAATCACAGAATGGTCAGGGTTGGAAGGGACCTCTGGAAATCATCTAGTCCAACCCCTCTGCCAGGGCAGGTTCACCTACAGCAAGTTGCACAGGACGGCATCCAGGTGGTTTTGAATGTCTCCAGAGTGGGAGACTCCACCACCTCTCTGGGCAGCCTGTTCTGGTAATCTGCCACCCTCAAAGTAAAGAAATTCCTTCTCATGTGTAGATGGAACTTCTTATGCTCAGGTTTGTGCCCATTACCTCTTTTTCTGTCACTGGGTACCACTGAAAGAAGACTGTTGCCATGTACCTGGCACCTTTCCCCCCTTTCCTTCCTCTGCCAAATCACAATCACTTTTTAGAAAAGCAGAAACCAGTGGGAAATGGTTAAAGAATCCAACCCTTCACTGTTGATCAGGTCCCTTGATCATTATTATTTAAAGAACACCTCACCTTTCATTAGCTGTTACATCTGAGAAGAAAGTTAAGGAGTTTGACCTCTGAATTGTAACCAGGGCTTAAGAAGTAAATAATTAAGTTGTTCTCAGTTCCTCCACTGCCTGTATTCTAAGCACATGAGTCTAAGAGCTACAAGTCCTCTGCCATCAAGGCTGCTAGTCTTTGGGTGTTGCCATTGTATTGTCATTGTGGCAGATGAAACAAATGGCCAGTCCATTTCACTGCCACATTCATCTCCTGCCTTCATCTGCTTTCCTTGTGTTTCCTTTTCCACCAGCCTGTTCCTGTCCCAGCAGGGCCTGACAGTTTAGTTGTCGTTCTCAAGGAAGAATGACAAAAGACCCCCTGATACACTGAAACGACAGGCATATTTAGCAGTGGTCAAATACTTGCTCTTGAGATCCCCTGGGAAGACGATGGATAGGCATTTTCCTCGTTTTACAGATGGGCATACTGTGACTATGATGTTTAGTTCAAGATTTCTAACCTCTTAATTTTGAAACTTCCAACCTGTGTGGCCAAGAGGCACATCTTTGTGTGTGGTAACTGCAATTGAAGTTAGAGGCTAAATTATGGAGGAACCAAAGCCTTGTTTTAAGATGCTGAACCTCTGCACTCCCAACGCTTTCACGTGAAACTGAAATTTTCAGTTTCATTTTGCACAGACAGTATAAATAAAAATTGCTAAATACTTGTGAAGACTATAGGTGTTAATAAGCTGTGTAAGATCAGCCAGCAAGTTACTGACAAAACAATTATTCAAATAGAAAAGGGTTATCGATTTTTAATTTTGTTCTTGTTGGTGTGTTTTATTAAGACAATGCTCTGGTCATGAGAGTGTATTTCTCTTCAAAATAAAAAACATTTTGTGTTGAGTTGCAAGCTAGAAAAAATGACCTTTTTCTTTCCAATAGTTTTAGTTTCTGGTAACCACCATTTTAAGGAGACTTGTGATAAGACTTCTTTGGATTGTATGTCACCAAAGACTGGTTTAGAAAATAGGCATGCCTCAGCAGGCAGGGTTATGGAGCCAAGCTGCATTACCTGCTACTGCCCCAAAGACAGCAGGTACATATTGGGATCTACATTAGTTACATTTAGCAGTCTTGCTAAAATAGCTCTTGTTCTTCTCAGTGCAATGCCTTGAGTCCTCCTTTCTTAGAACTAGATTTCAATTCTTCCGTGCTTTTTTTTTTTTTTTCCCTAAAAGACTGGAAGACTCGGGAATTTTGCTGATTCAGTGAAGTCTTTCACTGACCTTATTTGTATGTTTGAAGTACTAACATTTCATCTCAAAAAATTCCAACCCAGACAATTGGTATCATTAGCAGCAACTCAGCAACTTTGGTTCAAATCTATCTTTTGAAGGCTCAGAAATTCCTTCTTTTGCCCTTCATTTCTGTAAAATTTCAGATTTATTGATCTCTCTATACAAAGAGAGCTCTCTATACAGTTGTATAGCTGTTTAAGGATGGAGAAATATGGCTATTAAAAAAAAAAGGTCTTGAGAAAACATGGATTTTGCTAGATCTACAATTAAATCTACTTATTGTTCTAAAGATTGTGTTTTTTACAGCTCAAATGCTGGAGTAAAGAGCTGTTGTTCACCTGGATATAAAATTGCTCTTCTCTGTGCAGAATCTGCAGGGCGATGCTTGGAATTTGTGCAAATATTTAGCCTGGTGGCACTGTGATTCAGAAGGGGGTCAGACAGTCTGCTGGAATATTCAGCTGCAACATAATAGCAGTTCCTAAAATACTTCAGCTTAAAATGCCACCCAGAGAAGACTTATTTAGTCTTTTCTCAGTTGTCTGTTGAGTCAGCTGCTTGCAAAATGGCAATAAACAGGAAGAAATTCAGGAATAAGGATGTCAGCCTTCAATAACTCTCAGTTTTTATGAACTCTCTTCTTCAGTTCAGAAAAAGTGAAAAATGCTAAAGTACACGAGCAAAGCATTTGAGGTTTTTGCAATATATTTAGGTTGCTCTCTTGAAGAATCTGGGAAAGGTTTCAAAACCTTCAAATGAGAATGTTAAATCTATTCAGACATTACTGTTTGCATATTTTTTTATATATTGTGCAGAGTTTTGCAGGGAGCTTTTCTGTTTCCCGTGTCCAAATTCTACTTCATGATCCTTAATTTCATGCTGACCTATATCTAGTGATGTACGGAGCAGCCTGGGAACGGTTGCGATGGTATTATTGGCACAGGCATTTTGATATCCATCAAAATGAAGGATACCGTGGTTTTTCCCCACTTCTCAGGGTGTACCCTCCTGTCCACAAAGTGCCCCATCAGTTGGGTGGTCAGAACAGCTGGTACAGAACCTATTCAGATGCACAGGTCCAAAATACCTCCCTTGTGTTGCTTCCCTAACGATGCTTGTTAACTCCTGTTACTTCAGTATGATAGCTCTCACGTTTATTTTCATTCTGTACGATCTTTAGCAGACTTTGGGAGTGTTAAAATAAACATTATTTGCCAAGTCGTGTGGCCCTTCTCCATTTGGCAAACACCAGTCTGTTCCCTGTCTTTTTAATGAGTTCATTGCTGTCCTTAGTATTTTACTGTCTCAGAGTGGTGAGAGTTAAGGCTTATGGTAGAGTTACTTCTGCAAAGTCAGCAGGGGTGGCGCACAGGCTTGTTTTCTCATTACCTCGGGGGAGGGGGGGAAATGGTTGGCCTTCAAGATATGTGTGAATCCGTGGCTTTCACAGCCAGCTTGGAAATACAACCCATGCCAGCTTGCCTTCTGACTCCAAATTTCTTCAAGGATTAATGGGACTGCGGCAAAACACAGCTTCTCCTTCTGTACTGAGCAGTCCTCATCTTCTTTCTTGGGTTTGAGGAAACTCAGTCCAAGCAGACACTTAAAGGAAACA